ACCGCAAACACCCTCGTCCATGCCTCAGAGAACAAGACACGGTCGAGCCTCTCCTTGACTTCGGTCTTCTTCCATGTGAAGGGTGAACCTTCGTATCCAGCGTCGATTAACTCACAATCCGCCACTGCCTGAGAGAAATCTAAGATCTCCGCAGAGCGGTCCGTCTGCCCACCAATGCGCTCATCGGGATGAAGAAAGATGTTGAAATCACCGCTAATCATCCACAGTAATGCCTCAATGCTCTCAGCAATCTCACGCATGGTATCCCACAAATCATAGCACCCTCACACAACTGGCATAGACCAGAGTGTGGAAGATTTGTTCGGGTAGATGGGCGTTTGAGAGCTCAACGTGCAGGACTTGTTTTGTGTCACGGATGACCCGACAGGTAAAGTCCCGCGAGTGAAAGAACCAAATCTTGTTAGAGATATTTCCCAAGCCAGAGTGGAAACCAAGACGGCAAGAACACAAGTCAAAAGAGGAGTTATGGGACATGGGCTCTAGGAAAGCAGCAAAGTCCTGACTGTGGTCACAAACGAGGGAACGAACGTGAGCCAGAGTGGCCCTATTAGCCAGCCAGGGCGTTCCAGGTTAGTGATGTGACTGACATATCAAATGTCATTGGTGCCATTGTTTGTCCCATTTTCGTGTCTTTATTTCGAGTTTATTTTCTTCTCTTTTACTCCATTTGTATGTTTTTCTTAGCGTATTTGGTCAATTCTGTTGGTTTTGTGATTTCCTTATTTATTTCTATTCGTGAGTCATATTGCCACATTTTGCTTTGTGTTTTTCCTAGTTTTTGTTTGCAGGAGATAGATTGTGGTCGGTACTGCTTGAGCCATGATCGTGATCATTGAAAACATCCGTTGTCGAGCCCAGACGACGACGAAGAAGACTGAAAGATAGAAAAATGGAGAACTAGGTCTGCCTCTGGCTATGCTGAGTATGTCTATCTGAGAGGGGTAAGGCTCGGATGACCGAGTGCCGCGCGGTCCTATATCTGGTCTGAGGACGGTGGTGGTCTGGCGTGCAGAGAGGATGTCCTCTAGAGATCTGGTCCTACGGTGGTCTGGGCTCTCAGGGGGGTATCGTCCAGGGGAGGCGACTGGGGATCTCCCGAACCAGCAACGTGCAGAGCTCGGTCAAGGATAGGTGTGGGCCCCTCCTCCTTGAGGGGAGGGGAGAAGAGGGGAGGAGCGATTGGTCGGCAAGAAGGGTCGAGAGGTCCCTGACTGTGGTCATAGAAATGGCACTGGTTGTAGGCACAACAGATGCTCACTGTCGGGAGAAGGGGCAGGAGAAGTTGGAGTCCTTGCTAAGGGGGTGTAGGCAGGAGGAAACCTCGAATCCTGCAGGTCCTCCATAGATATGAAGGGACCGTTGGGCGTCACAACGGCGCGGGAGTTGGAGGCAAGGGGGAAAATGAATGGTGCTCGCTAGGGGAACAGACAGACCTGTCTTGTCATCCAAAAGTTCATCGTCATCAAGGGGGGAAATGAATGTGTCTCTTGGGGGGCTGGAAATGGAAGCAGGCTCATCCTCCATCTCTGGAGAAACTGGTGAAGAAACAACCCCGTTGCTCTAGACTTTGGCCCATCCAGAGCAACTCCCTTGGGACGGTTAGGCTGGGGAGCCTTCCCAACCTAGTGTGGGGCCTCAATAACAACCTTACCCTTGTCTATTTGTCCTTTCGGGGACTAAGGTGTTTGGACAAGGGCCTTACCCTT